ATTGTCAGAATTCAGTCAGAATTCTCAGAAAAAAGTCAGAATTCTGACTTTTTTCCCCTTCTTAACTTGAATTAAATTTTAAAAACTGTTTTTTTTTTTTTTTTTCAGTGGCCCTAATCCTCTTCCATAGGAACCAATAATGGCGAGCTGTTATTTTTTTTTATATATTTATAAAAAAAGGTTAATTTTGATTTTTTTTTTTGGTTAAAAAAAAAATTATCATAATAAAAATAATCTTATTTATGATGTTTTAAAAATTAAGACCTTCGAAAGACTGATTTAAGACATTTTAATACCAATTAAGTTTTTTTTTTTTAGGTTTAAGGTTAAGGTTTTTTTAAGTTTTATTTTGAAGAATTCAATGCCTTTTAAGACTTTTTAAGGACCCTGGGAACCCTGTGTTTACCACAGCTGCACAAAAGCAATAAACCAAAGACCGGCCCAGAAAAACTTCCCCCAGGGGAGGACTTTATACAAGCCTCCAATCAAAATCTTGTTATCTCCAATGGAGGATTTTACACGGTGCCATTTCCACAAACTAGTTTTTATCGGTTAATAATCGGGTTGTTTTAAACTAGGGTCCTTTCTGCAGTCTGTCTGAAAATGTGTTCCACGTTTTTATGGAAAGCATAAAACTTAAAGGGGTCATAGAATGCAAACCGAGTTTCCCTTGTCATAGATGAATTACGATAGTTCAGTGGGTGAAATAGACGTAGAGAGAAGCTCGAACCCCATCATCACCTCCTTTCTCTGCAAATCTCACAATTCTAAACCATAAAACAGGTGAATCCAAACGAAGCCCAGAGTTGATGTAAACTCAGGGGTGTTGCCTTATTTGGTTCTGGCCTGGACTTTTGTCCCGCCCCAAACTTTACATCCAGACCCGCCCACTGGTTCACTGCCCAAGAACATGAATAGAGGTAGATGGAAGACAGCAGTTTAGCTGTTTAGCCTACAGTTGGGTTTACTTCTACAAGAATAACAAAGCAGGAAGTTTCTCTATTGAAAATGAGCCAGAACCATGGGAGGAAATGCAGCGTTCCAGGCTGCAAGGAGGAAGGGGAACATTTTTAGTCTTCCCAAGGATCCAAAGACTCGACAGGCATGGATTATTTTTGTCTATCAGACGATCCCTGCAAAGTTTGATGCTTGGATGTTCATTTGCTCGAAGCATTTTACCAAAGACAGCTTTCACAATCTTGGACGGTTCAAAGCAGGATTTGCTAAACCTTTTTTACAAAAACAAGGGGCTGTTCCCACCGTAAGGCCGTCACAACCGCAAACTGGAAGTATGATTCTGTCAATAAGCTGTTGATAGCAATATTTAGCCTTTTAATTAGTGTTTTTAATCTTTTCGGGACGGGTTTTACAAACTTTCTTTTTATAGAAGGACTTTGCCAGAAGAGATAAAAAAACAAGCCAAAGGCCCGAATTTACAATTTTTTAATCAGAGAA